GAGCTGGATTTAGATCCTGTAATGCTGGCTGGGCGCCTGTTCCCTGCCTAAACCCCTCCTTGCCCAGGGCAGGGGGTGAGGAAACCACTGGTGTTGAACTGCAGATACTTGGTGGGGCTTCTGCCTGACTCCCAAGGCAGCTGAAAACTGCTGCTACTCTGGAGAGGCTGCCACCCTTCACTTGAGAATGGTTGGGCACAGCTTAGAGGCTGTCCTGTGGGGTGGCTGAGAAAACTCCAACATGGGCACCATCCCATCGTCTGTAGGGTCTGCAGGCACACACAGCTCTGCTGGAAGGGTTCCTGCTATGCCATTGCCATGGGAGACTGACAGGCAGCACTGAGATGTGACCTCTTGAGGCATCCTCACTTCATGCCCTGCTTGGCCCCACATGGCAGCCACCAGAGCTCAGCCACAGGGAAGGAGCAGGGTCAGACACAGACAGCACCACGTGGGAATGTCAGCAGCACTGCTGGGAGCCCAGGCTGGGGCTGTCACCCTGCAGGACCACAGCTCCTGCATGCTGGTTTGCGTGGGGAGAGGTATTTCATTGCAAAATGTCCCTTGCAGGGAGATGCAGGCTAGTGGCAAAGGAGGTGGGAACGAGGAGAACCAGACTCGCCCAGAGCAGCTGGCACTGGCAGGAGGTGAGCAGAGGTGACACCTTGTCAGCGTAACCAGGGTCTGACATTTTGGGTTCTGCCTTTGCCCCTTTCCTCAGGAGTCAAACCACAAGTGTGAGTTTGGGGCTTGCAAGTTGCCTGTGCTCCTCAGACAGAGCAGTCCTCCTCAGCTTTATCTCTGTCTCTTTCTCCCTTTGTGCCTTCTACCTCTGTTAGTCTCCTCTGCAATGACAGGAACCCAGAGAGTCAAACCCCAGCTCTGGGAATGCAGCATGGTTTCCCAGCTTTCCCAGGGGAAAGCCCAGGAGCTGTGTCCCACCTGGGTGCTCCCGGGCTCCTTTGCAGTGCCTGCCTGCAGAAACTGCGGGTGAGGAATGGGAGCTGCCACGCCAGGAGCTGCTGGGGAATAGCTGCCATGCTTTACATTCACAGCCCATCTATTTTGCAATAACTTCACCGTGATGTTCCCACATAGACAAGCCTAAGCTAGCATAGATAATGAAATGGGTTAAAGGAGACAGGAGGAGGGAGAGGAGAGGAGCCAGCAACTGGTAGTAAATCAGGGAGAGAACAGGGTTACTTTAAATTCAAGGTCTTGGTGGCAGGGCAAGTTTGCTTTGTGCCAAGAGGCACGGGGTTCAGAGGATGAGACACAACAGTGTCTTCTTGGTGGGGCCACCGACTTGTGTCCCCCACCAAATCCCACCTTGCTCCTGTCATTCCCCTGTGCCTGCCCCATGGGTGTCACTGGGATTGAGCACAGCCAAGGCACCCATCCTGGCTGGTAAAGGGTGGTCACAGGATCCTGAAGGAGGATCCTGACAGGGCAGGAGTGGGCTCTGCTCTTCAAGGCCTGCATGAGCTCTTGGTCAGGGCCTGGGGAGACCCAGCCACTGAGACTCCCCCACCTTTGGCACGGGCTTCCAGGCAGTCCAAACAAGCTAATTAAATCCTGCTCTGCTTAATCAGAGCCATTGAGCACCAGTCAGAAGAAATTAATCCCGTGTTTTATTAGATGCTGTTTGAAGTCGTGTTTGGCACCTCGTCCTCAGTTCTCATCTCCTTCTGGGGAAGGAAGAAGGACATCTGTGGGGAAGAGCGAGGGTGCAGCAGATGGCAGCGGGGATGATTCAGGGGCTCGAGGAAGGAGCTGCGACTCCAGCGGCATCCCTGGGCTGGGGGGGGAACGAGACACCTCTCCTTGCATCCCACAGCCCACCCCTCCCCACAGCTGAGAGTCTGTGAGCCAGGCAGGCATCCCAAAAATACATGTTCCTCCGCATTGCATGCTAATGGCTCTGCTCGAGAGGTCCCACCGCAATTAAAGCACAAGGAGCATTAATATGCAACGTGGAGAGGCCACTCTTCCCACAGCTACTCCCTCCCAAACCTGTCCTTCCTGCTGCACATCCCTGCCCACTGGGAGCCTGCCCACGGGGATCCCACAGCAGTCCCAGCGGAGCCGCTGGCGGCGTGCAGTAAATTTGAGCCTTCCCTTTGCTGTGCCCAGGGGATGATGCTGCCTTTTCCCCCTGGCACCAGGCACCTTCTCCTGGCTCTGGGCTCAGTGGAACAGGATCTGTTGGGTGCCCACCAGGTGGATGCCATGCAATGCAGCCCCAGCATAGGAGACACCCTGACAGCTGGGAGAAATGCACGGGCAGGTGTTTAAAACAACCAGCTGGGTGATGGTTTGGGGTTTTTAATGACTTCTGGTGCAACCCAAGAAAAACTCCTGACGAAGAGAAAGTCTGGCCAAAGTAAGGTAGCCCACAGGTGGCCCTGCACACCTTGGGAGCACCCAGTAGCCTCGGTACATCCTCCTGCAGCTCGGCTAGGTGAAGCTGCTGGCTTTGGGTGTGGGGAATTTATTTTTTCCCCAAATTTCCTGTCACAACTTGCGTTAAAACTTTGCAGAGCCACTTAATTGTGTTCTGCGGTGGTGATGATATGAAATTAGTCTCCCTTCTGATCTTTGGCTAAGTTGGTCCAAAGCACCAGCTTATAATTTGCTCTAATCATCAGGTCGGGGGAGATGCGAGGGCAGGGCCGGTGCCCGCTGAATTCACACGGGCTGGGAGTGTCCTTCCTTGCCATGCCAGCATTTGGCACCTGGCAGGTCGGGCTCTGCCACCCTGGGATGGCAACGTTGATAATTTACTTTGGTGGCACTTTGGGAAGTTTCTCATCAACTGCTCTTGGCTGTTTCCTCTAGAAAAAGCTGGGAACTACAGCTGTGAGGAAGAGGAGGGAAAGCTGAGGTGGTTTCCTGTCTACCTTCTTGGCCTGCTCTGTCCTCTGAGCATCTCAGAAACATTCTCCACTCCTGTCTGGACACCTGGAACAGGACTGCTGAAGGCATCTGGAAAGCAAGGGATCCCATCTCCCATCTCACTTCCCAGGGCTTCATGTGCCAAACTACTCCAGATGTAGTTTGGGACATAAAGAGAGCGTTGGGGAGAGGAAGTGGCTGGGTTTTGCCTACTCACCTATCCCAGAAAATCATAAGAGTTACAAGAAAACAAGCTCTGATGAGCAGGAGCAGGGCAGGGCAATATTCTGGGCACGGAGAGGCCCTTCTGCTGCCGAGGGCACGGTGCCCATCATTCCAGTGGCATCAGTGCTTTCCACCTCCACGCAGGAGGTACAGGATATCATGGTATTATTTTTAACCAGGGATATTTAGTGAACTTCTCACGTGCTGCTGGAGGGTCAGATTTATCCCATAGCCTCAGTCCCAGGGGACACTCCCAGTTATTTTTGAACCCATCAGAGCAGCAGAGGAGCAGAGGGATGCAGAGGGTCGGGAGACACAAAGTCTGGGGTTTGTCTGGCCTGTCCCTCTGGTCTGTGCTGCAGGGGCGTGCGTGGAGCAGAGCCCCTCACGCCTGCCTTGTCATCACCACCGTCACCCCGGCCCCCACCATAAAACCCAAAACTTGGGTGAAGCCCCAGCTGAGACGATCTTGGACGCCTGCAAGTTTTGATCCTTTTCGACCTACCGCATTGCAAGACTTTTTTTCTCCCCCCCCCCACCCAGTTCCATTTAAACCTCAATTTACCCTGCGAACGAGTTTGGCCCTGCTCGGGCAGGTCCCGGTGGCCGTGAACATTCCCACGGGCGCCGCAGCGCTGCCGCCGCCGCCGCGGGAGTCCCTCCCTGCCTCCCTCCCCCGCCGCCGCCCGGAGCCTCCGAGCCCCCGCACGGAGCGCACGGCCCCGCTCGCACCGGCATCCCCCGCGCTTCCAGCGCGGCTCCCCGTTCTAGCGGGGATAACTCATCAGCACACAGCCCCGGCCAGGCGCGCAGCCGCCGGGTTTTGTTCAGCCACTCACTTCGGAGGGAGAGGTGAGGCCAGGGCAGGGGGAAGGAGCTGTTTGAAGCCCTTATTTTTGTGCCGCTCCAACATCTGTCCCCATGGGCGCCGCCACCCGAGGCCGGCGCTGGTGGCTAGTTTGGCTCTGCAGAAGCAGATGTTGGTGGGGCAGGGAGGCAAAGCCCTGAGTTTTAAACTGGAGGTGCGCTGGGACAGCGTGGCCCTGCCCGAGCCCCGGAGAGAGACAGAAGGGTCCCCACAGCCCACCCCCGCCCGGCCGCGGGGGTGCCTTTCCCCGCGTGTTTTAAAGGCCAGCGAAGCGAACGAGCCCCGTGACCGGAGCTGGCAGCCAGGGCACGCTGGCCCCGGGCTCCGCTCAGGGCTCCGCGCACCGGGCGCGCCTGGCCCCGGGGTGACCGCCGGCAGCGCGGGGCCGGGGTGCGCGGCGCCGGGCGGGACCCGCCGGGGCAGGTCCGGAGGGGCAGGCGGCGTGCCCAGCCCCCGGCCGCCTCCCTCCCTCTCTCCTTCCTCCTCTCCGTGCCTGCCTCCCGCCGGGTCCGTCCCGCCCGGCGCCGCGGAGCGGCAGCGCCCGCCCGGCCACACCGCCGCTCCCCGCGCCCCCCCGACGGGCGGTTTCAAGTCCCCCCTTCCGAGGTCTCCGCGGCGCCGGCCAATCAGCGCGCGCTGCGCGCCGCGGCCCGCCGCCTTAAAGGGCCCGCGCGCCGCGCGGCGCTGGGGAAGCGGCGCCGCCCGCGGGCCGAGCCGGGCGCGCTCTAGGACCGCGCGCCGCCGCCGCCGCCCGCCCTCCCTGCCCGCCGCGGGAGGCCGCCCGCCGCCTCCGGAGCGGGGCGTGGCGCGGGGAGGCCCCGCCCCCGCCGGGCGGTGATTGGCGGCAGCGGGCGCCCGTCGGCGGCGGGGGCGGCGCCCGGCGCGGCCACGTTCGGGTGCGCGGCCAGCGGCGCGTTGGGCGCAGCGAGCGGCGGCGGGCGCGGGGCGATGGGGGCGCGGCGGCGGCCGGCGCTCTGACAGCCCCCGGCGCTCCCTCGGCGGCGGGCGCAGCGGCTCCGGCGGCAGCGGCGGCTCTCGGCGGCCGCCCCCCTCCTGCTCGGCGCGGACCATGTTCGCCAAAGGGAAGGGCTCGGCGGTGCCCTCGGACGGGCAGGCGCGGGAGAAGTAAGAGCGGCGGCGGCGGCGGGGGGAGCGGGGCGCGGTGGCGGCGGGCGGCTTTGTGCGGGGCGGGAGCGGGGCGCCTCTTCCTCCTCCGACCCGGCGCTCGGCTGTTGCAGGCTGGCGCTGTACGTCTACGAGTACCTGCTGCACGTCGGCGCCCAGAAGTCTGCGCAGACCTTCCTGTCCGAGGTGAGCCCCGCCGCCCCCCGCGCCCTTTGTGCGCCGCCGCACGCCCGCCCTCCATCTTGCGCGGGGCGGCGGCGGCGCCGGGGGGTCGCCGCGCGTGGGGGCCCACGCCCACCCGCGACCACCCCCCGCCCGCGCCGCCCCCCCTCCCAACCCACCCCCCGCCGTCTTCCTCTCGCCCGCAGATCCGGTGGGAGAAGAACATCACGCTGGGCGAGCCCCCCGGCTTCCTGCACTCCTGGTGGTGGTAAGTGCGGGGGTGTCCCGTGGCGGGTGGGAGCAGCCCCCCGGGGGCGCGGGGCCCCGCGGGGTACAGCCCCGGTAGTGGCGTGAGTCAGCAGCGGCGGCGAGCCCCGAACCGCCCCGGCTCCCGCTCCCCGCGGGCGTCGAGGCGCGGCGGAGCCACCCCCGGCCCCGCGGGAGCGGCGGGCAGGGCTCCCGCTGGAGAGCTGCCGGGCCAGCCGCAGGCACCGGGCTGTGCCGGTGCCGCTGGGGCGCCCAGGGGAGCGGGGCTGGGCGGCTGCGGGGCTGCGAGAAGTGTCTGAACTCTCACGGGGGTTATCCCTTGGAGGTGCTGCCTCTTGAAGGCTACTTTTGCTCCCTTAAGCACCCAGCATCCCCGCTCCTGGGTCAGGTCCCAGCAGTGTAAAGCTGGGATGCACAGCTGGATCCAGCTGTGGTGCCAGCCCAGCGAAGCCGCTCACCTGCGCTGACCTGGGTGCCCGATCCCCGATGAGTAACTGCTGTTCTCCCGTCTCTCCCTGCCGTGCAGCGTGTTTTGGGACCTGTACTGCGCAGCTCCCGAAAGGCGAGACACTTGTGAACATTCGAGTGAAGCCAAAGCCTTTCATGACTACGTGAGTAACAAGTTTCTAATCCTCGCGGTAATTACGGCGTTGGGGAGCTCCGGCGCACCGGGAGCCAACCTAACGTAACCGACTGGCAAAAAGCGTGGGGTTTTTTTTTAACCAGCAATGTTCTGATTTGACTGAACAGTATTTCATAATGTTGCAATTATGTAAATGAGCTCAGATACTTATCTTAAGCACTTAAAGGCATTCGCGTTAGTGGTAGAATTAAGAAGTTTTGTATAGCAATGGACAACAAAGCGTTTATAGAGGGTCGATGGCAAGATATTTCATGCTGAGGACACTGTGGTGGTGAGATGTTTGATGCTGAGGGCACCTTGCAGGATGGGCGGGGGTTGGATTTTGGTGGGGAGGAGAAGGGGGATTTCCCCAAACCGCTGTTGAATGGCCCAGTTAATATCTCCCTGCCTTTGGCAAGGCTGGGGGCTCCCTTGGTTTCCTGAGTCCTCCCTTGATCCCAGCAGGGGAGAGGTGTTGTCTTGTTGGAGCTGGGGTTGCAGACCCCCGTTGGTTGGTTGGTCATTGTGCATCTTGGCTCTCCATGGTTTGGGTTGCTCTCTGCAGAGGTGACAGCATGACCCAGGGATGGATGGTGGCATGCTTGGATCTGAGGTGTGTCCCAAAGGATCCCCCTTGTCATGGGTGCATGGCATGTCTGCCCCATGGACAGGCTGCCCACTCCCGTCCCGCATCTGCAGCGTTGGGAGGAATGTGCATCAAAGGATTAGTCACCTGGCTGCGGGCTTGGACCCCAGTCAAGCGCCTTTAAACCTCCTAGCAGGAGCTGGTTTTGTCTGCTCCGGGGAGACTATGGTATGGAAACCGTTTTTGCTCCCTTCCCAAGTTTCTGGTTGCCTGGACATGCCTGGCTGGGGATGTGTGAGGGTTTGCTGGAGAGCGGTGCCAGGCGAGCGTCTCAGGGACCTCCGCGGCTCTCACACGCTGGCACTGGGCACAGCAACCACCCTGGGGCATGGGCAGTGCCAGAGCTGGCTGCTCAGCTGCCTCTTGTCTCTTCCACCCTGCTGGGTCTTGGGAGAAGTGTGTCTGGGTATTTGCTAGTGGAGTTTGTCTGTCTGTCTGTCCATCCCTGCGGCCGCTGTCTGCATCGCCTGTTTTCACTGGGTCGGATTAAGATGGTGAACTCCTGAACCAGGGGTCAGAGCTGATAACCAGCAGCATGTCTGGCAGTTGTTGGCTTTTGCTCTCTTCCTGGATGTTCTGGGGCAAATTATGGGGGGTTTGGGAGCCCAGATGGGACAGTGGGGTCATCAGGAGCAGGGTAAAAGTAGATCTTTGGGCAGCAGAGCCACAGGTGAAGATGACATTAGCAAGCAAGACCTGGTAATGCTCCATCCACAGCAGCCTCCTCATCTTGTCTGAGGATTTAGTGTATTTAGAGAAATTAATCTTTTTTTAGCTTGGTAATAATTCTAACAATAGGCCTGAGTGCATTAGATGATTCGCATAAACTTCTTTAATACACGTTGCTTTGAGCTTACAGTAAATAGACACAATCCTGATTGTTTTTAATTCTCAGTGTAATGCAGTTTTCTAAGAGCCCCAAGTGCTTTACCTTTTGGGTAACTCCTAAGATTCTCACTGCCCTGTGCTTTGGGTTGGTGGCTCTGGGTTGGTGTCCCCAGGCAATGTTTTGGCCCTGACACAGGGCTTGTGCCTCTCCGTGGTGTGGCTGCTGACGGATGCTCAGGGTGCAGTCCCTCTCTGAGGAGTGGTGTTTTCCTGGCGCGGCGTGTACTTTACAGGGCAGGGACCTGCCTGGCCAAAACTTAAATATTGACCAAAGAACAGAATGATAACCGTGGGAGTGTGAATAGAGCCTTGTTCCTCTCCGGCTCCTGGGCAGGTGAGCGTGGTGGGCAGTGTCAAAGAGCAAACCCAGCGAGCCATCAGCAGTGCATGGCAGCTAAAATGGGATATGAGCCCCAAATGGGGCTGGATCAGTGAGTCATGAATTGCTTCATGTGGTGGTTGTGGTTAAAAATATCTCAGTCTAAGTCTTGCCCCAGGTTTGTAGAGCATTGTGTTTACACTTGGCCGGCAACGGGCAAACTCCGTGTGTCCTGCTTGGTGTTTGCCCAGAATATGGTGTGTGTTAACCCTGATACTGTGCTGCTGCGAGGACAGAAAGAGGGGATGCTTTGGGAGCCTGGCACGTCACTTTCCCAGAGCCAGCACTGGAGAGGTTCTTTCCTGGGACACAAATCTTTTGGGAAGGGGGAGCAGTTCTCCTCATTAGCAGGGTGGGATTTACATGGTGTGTCATTTCCACTTTATTTTCCAGCATAACTGTATGAAAACTGTTAGGAGCAGCAGGACAAATTCTGCTGATTTCCCCCTCCAGTTTTGCATGTTTAAATCTTTAGTGAGAAATTAAAGCAAGGAAGGAAATTGGGAATCTAAGGGGAAATCCCACTACTCTTTTTTTTTGAGGCGACTCTTGAAAACTGTGGAGTCTCCCCTAAGGTTTTTCTCCCAAGCTGGGACAAAAACCTTCTGGGACTTTGTAGAAAGGTGCTTGTTGGAGGAAGAACGATGGGAGTGGGGATTCACCTGGCACAGGCAGGAGGAATGCTGCTCTGCTCTACCCTTCCATCTCTGGCATGTCTGTGCATCTGTTAACACAACTCTCGAGTTGTGTTGTTGCAGGGTTGTTCATCGCCCTCTCCCACCTGTACCCAAAGAGTTTACCCAGGCTAACAACCCCACAAACACCAACCCCTAAAACTCAACCATTGATTTGTGTTCCTCCAAGCCCCATGGCGAGCAGGCCAGCATTCCAGCACGCTCCCAAAGCTTGCAAGGGGATCTCTGGTCATGACAGGGGATTTCAGCCGCCGCGTTATCTGGGAATTGGCCGATGGCTGCTCGCAGTTGAGCATTTCAACGCCGTGAAAGCCAATACAATTTGAGTTAGCGGTGATGACTGCCAGTTTAAATACCGCAGTGAATTTCTGTCAAAGAGCTAATACACAGAAAGGGGAATTGCAGAAAACTTGATCACCAGAACCACTTCAGTCGATTTTGGCCTCGAGCTACAGAAAATGAACTTAAATCTAGTTGACTGTTTGCTACATACTTTTTTTTTGTGGTATTGCTCTGCCTGCACAGCCAGCTCATGGCAACATGCAGGAGATAAAACTTGGGGTAGCCTTTAGCTGATGAAGACTTTGAGTTCATCATGCCCTAGCTCTGTTTCCCCCAGTTTCTTCCTGAGGAGGACCTGCGCTTGGGAGCATTTGAAATGCTGTTTTCTTTGCAGCACAAGATCTGCGGAGCTGTGGCTTCAACTTGCCATTAACGCAAAGCATTGATTTATTTGTTTTTGTTTTTAACTTTGGAAAGCTGCTGCAGTTCTTTCCAACTTGGGTCTGGAAAGATGCTCTGCAGCAGTGGGGGTGGTTGCTGCTGGAGGTGCAGTGGTTGGTCTGGGAAAAGACGGTGTGTTGGGGGCTCCTGTCTTGGCTGGGGATAGCCAGGGCTCCTCCTTTTTGTATGGAAAAGTCCCCCTTAGAGAGATCTCAGGGGGTTCTGAAGCTCGTGGGGATGGATGGATGGATGGATGGATGGATGGATGGATGGATGGATGGATGGATGGAGAATTCAGGCTTGCTGGAGTTACTGTGCTCAGTGGAAACAAGGTGAAGCCCAAGAGGCTGGAAGAACTTTGGTCTGCTGGCTGTACAGACTGAGGGTGTTTCAGGGATGGTTCTTCTATGCTGAATCTGCTAATCATGCCCCATCCAGGTGTGGGACAGGCACCCCATCCCAGCATCACTGCCTGGGTATTTTTGGGCTACAGGGAGCATTTCCTTGTCACAGCACCAGCTGCTTCCTAGGGTCTGTGTGGCCAGCTCGTGGCATGGTGCACTGGCAGGTGACACAGCCTTGTGGGACCCCTGGGAAGGAATGCTGTTCGTGCGTGAAGGGTTTGTGTGACTGTCTCCTCTCCCATGCCAGGCTCTCTTCTTGCTCCAGGACCAGTGAAGGTTGTAATGCCTTGTTTGAGGCACCCATGGCTGTGAGGGTGGGACAGACAGTGTTGATCCATGAGTACCTCTGCGGTGGTGGTGATGGTCCATGAGAGCTTCTCCTGTTGTGTGCAGCCAGTGTTGTGTCGAAGAGGTGTTTTTGGGCAGGTTTAGTGCAGGGACAAGGCTTGGGAACAGCTTTGTGTGGCCCCACAGGCATTGCCTGAGCCCTGGGCATGTGGCTCAGTGGTGGCACACACAGCTCTGTCCTGTTTCCATGCGGGACTGCGCTCCGTCTGGGCTCCATCCAGCTCCACTCTGCAGGGACAGGGTTCCCTGGTAGGTAACCGGAGAGAGGAGTTTCCTTCAGGAGTGGCAGGCTGCCAGGAGCAGCTGCAAAACTCCACATCACTTCAAGAAAAAAAAAAATTTTGCAACAAAAATAAATAAATCCAGATATTCCCTCTCCTGGCAGCGCTGGGCTCGGCCTTCCCTCCCAGTTAAGGGTACTGGTGAGCCTGGGTGTCCTTTAAAGCCTGCTCTTGCTGGAGCACCATGCAAGGGTGGATTTGTTTAATATTTTAAACAACATTGGCTGTCATGACAGAGCAACCTCGGCTTCCAGACTTCGTGCTGCCCAGCAGCAGGACCAGGGCATTGCAGAGCAGCACCTTTCCACGGGTGATGCTCTTGGAGAAGGCTCCATTGTGAAACCGGAGGTCAGAGCCCAGAGCTTATGTCTTAGTCTTTGACTGGGGAGCCTAAATATTTATCCTGTTCTGTCCCTAATGAAAACAAATTGTCAACAGTTGTTCAGTAACTGACTAAATTAAAATCTGTAATTAGTCAATTAGATTAAAGAGTTGGCACAACCTGATTGTATCATGCTGGTTAGGTTATTAAGAGAAAGGGTGTGATTTTTAATTACTGAATGCTAATTTTGACGGTTTCAAATAGAAACAGACGTTCCCCCCTCCACCCCACCCCGAGTGCCTG